GGTTGTGAACATGCATTTAAAAACAAGATTTCTCCAGTGGAATATCAAATAGTGACTGTGGAGGACAACAGACCCGACCCCCAAGACCCAAGGCAAACATAAGAGGGACCAGAGCCACAGACCCCGAGAGAGACCCCAAGCACTGAGCCCCCAAGGCCACCTGCACAGCGAGAACCACCCACCCACCCTCAGAGAGGAACACAGGAGAGAACCAGGAGAGCCCCACCAGCAACCACACGCAGAACCCACAGGGCCAACAGCTATGATCACAGGCCCCGCCAGCCCCCGCCACACCAGAGCAGAACCAGGCGCGGACACAGGGACCCGGATCCACAGGGTGCATCCCCCCGCCCAGGCCAAGGCCCGACTGGGCTAGAGGACCCAAGCCCCACCAGGCAGTCACCAGGCCGAGCCGGCACATGCCCAAGCACCCAGCCCCAGACATTGAGAGCCACCAGCGCACTGGCGGGCAGAAGCGCACCCCACCAGAGGGCAGTGCAGCCAGGGGCAGAGTCCACTACTAGCAGAGGGCTCTCAGGTGAACCAAATGAGGGGACAGCCCAAGTCCCAGCTTGACAAATACTAAATCATACACGAACACAATCACATAGTCCCACCCTCATTCTCACACCCACTCTTTCAAAGACAAACAAGAAGAACGCCACACCCCACGGGCCACAATCCGAGAGCCCGAACAACCCCGGGGAAGTCAGACTGCCAGCCACAGCCCCCGGCACCCCTCCAGGACCCTGAATCCATCCACAGCCCAGGACCCTACCAGACGGTCCGCCCCTAACTGACCCCACCCCCCCTCCAAAAAATGGCCATCGCAGAGAGACAAATTGGTTCTTTGCATTGATCCAGTAAAGACTTGGTGGTGAGGTAGCATTTTTTTGTGCTAGGGCCAGTGTTTACAATGGCAGAAACAGAAAGTGCTGGGTTAAGTTTAGCGCAGAACTTGTGTAGTGGAAAAAACTATAAAGTGAGTCACCACAATATATCAGGCTGCTGTTACACCCATCATCCCCACTGGTACTACACAGTTAGGTGATAAGTGGCTAAACTGTTAAAATAAAAAAACAGAAATGACAAAACATTTGCAGTGCACCCATTGCTTCACACCTCAGTAACCACATTTTACTATTTATTTATCCAGTCTGTGTCCAAGCACCAACTACAGTCAACTTAAAGTATCCATCAGTAGCTAGCTGACCAACAAAAGCCAATGCCAGGAGAACACCAAAGCTGAGTTTTACTGTAAGTGTTGTCCATTATACTCATCTACTGCTTTCCAGTTCTCCAACACTGGGGTCAACCACCTGTCTGTGGCTGCAACTCTGCACACCCATATAGTATGTGCTGCCTATCTGCCTGGACTTGGACCACATCTGCTTTCAGTGCACTACTAGCTCTATAGTGAACTGCAGGTGGCTTCAGTAATAGCTTATAAGGCAACATAGGTCATTTTTAGATCCTTGTAGTGAGATACAAAGCAAAAGCATCAAACATTAAGATTACACCTGTAATCCCAGTTGTTTTTGACATCATGAGTGAATTATCTCACGTTCACCTTTCTTCCATGAAGAGATGAACGAGTTTATCTGTTAGGGTTATTTAGTGATGGGTGTCTGCCTCATATGTAGTTAGAGGATATTCCTCCTGAGGACATCAACATTGCATCTGCCAGCCAACCATGGCTTAGCAGAAATGGATTTTTTTGAGGGCTAAACGAGCATACCTCACAGTGAGATACCTTACTCATGCAATAAAAAACAGGGTTACAGATGTATCTTTAGTTCTTCGCACAATCTCTCCTTACCTTTGTCAATTCCAGCTGCTGTATTAAAATATGAAAACAACGTGATGAACATCCGGCAATTCAACTGCTCCCCCCACCCTTACTGGTTGCCCAACTTCATGGATGTCTTCACATGGTCTTTGCCTTTTGTTGGAGAGAAAGGTGTGTTTATAAAGGAAAAAAACTGAAGATTTTTGTGTTGAGTTGTCTGTAGTTTGTTGACAATTGAGACTTCAGAGTCTCTAGTCGCTGTTAAATTGTAAATTGGAAAATGAATTAAATAAACATGGTTATAAGTAAGATTTCTTTATTCAATAAAAACAAAGGTACTGATTATTGGAGTTATTCAAAATATTATCTACAGCTATATCCATTTTTGTTAAACTCAAGATTTCCACTGCTAAGGTGGGGACTAGTATCTGATTTTCCTGCTCATGATGTTCCATATATTTTAAAATAAGACAGATTTGTACTACAGGCACTTTGTTATAGAGACAAATTAGTCTCAAAAAGATTTGAGCGTGCACAACAAGATTGGCACACACAAGTGTGTGAATCAGCCTGCCTGTGAATGTGACTTCTGAGATTTATTTAACACTGCAGATTCACATGTGTAATGCTGTGCTCAATGCTGGTAAAAACCTGGAACATCTGAGTCAAACCAAATTTATTGGTCATTGGAAGCAACTTGTTTCTAAATTAGCTGTAACCCGTGTAATAAAACAGAAATACTTACACCAACATACTGTACATTTGAACAAAGCTACTCAAAATAGTAAGGTTACTTTTCCTCTAGAAAAAAATCAAGAAAGTAWAATAATTGCTACTTTTTGCAGAGGAAAACTGGTAAATATATGTTTCCACAATAGTTTTGTAGAACAGTAACTTCATAATTTAGAGTAGTTTACTTCAAATGTACAGTCCACACAAAAATATACAGGAAATTACTGTATATTGGTTATACTGGTAGATTTTTCCATAAGAAGAAAGTGTTCTTTTTTCAGACTACAGCTGTGTTTTGAGTTTATTCTTCTTGGTATGTCTTAAAACGCCCAAGTTCAGCTGTAACTATGTAATCTGCTTGTTGTCAAATCGACCTGAATGGTGATATTTGTAGGAAATATTGCTATTTTTGTACCTTTCAGTTGCTGATATCAAACTGAAATTTAACCTTTTTTTAATACAACAAAGTTGGCCAGTCTAGACAATAAAAATTGTTTTCTTTTACTTTTAAATGAAATTGCAGCTTTAAGTTTGTGCTGTATGTGAGAAAACGTCATAGACTTTCCTGTTTTACCCACCTAATATTTTGGAGACCTGATGCCCCCAAGTGTTTTTATTTTTGTGAAAAGTAAAATTTAAACTTGTCTTCTGTTCTACACAGTGACAGAGATGCTTGTGAATGTACTGAACATTTGCTCTGATGACGAGCTCATGTCAGAAGTAGATGATCTGTATGAAGGTAATAACAGCCAGAGGACCAAGCATTAATGTTTCCTAATTTTGTTTAGAATATATACAGTCAGTATTTATTAGGGCTTGCCATATCAAATGAATGAGAGAGCAGAGGAAAGCATTGCAAACACCCCTACAAATGTTACATCAAAACAACCGGCTTGGCAGTGGGAGGTGTGCTATTACTTTTAGTGGCGTTTCGAGGTACCTGCTATCAAAAAAAACCTCATAGGAATACACTGAGCTCAGCTTCCAGCTGCCTTTAACTGCCACACTCTAGAGTGAGAGCTGTCTGATTTTTAAAAGATTACTTTTCAAACAACTTTTTCATGATACACAGACAAATAATATATCAAAACATAGAGRTTTTTGTCTTCTTTCAGCCAATATTTCTGGTTTTGCTGTAGGACAAACGGTTTTCTCTCAAAGTTTGTCAGAAGTCATGGAAGTACCACCTCCYTCCCTATCTTTCTCAATGTAAAATGTATTTCACGCTCTGATTCTGAAGCAAAAGAACAACTATTTTCAACTCAGCATATCTATGACGAGAGATAAAGCATTGTACCCCGCAATTTGCGCCTCAGCGCGTCGAACGCTCAGATCGTTCAAATCGTTCAAATCGCGCTGCTCTAATCGCGCTTGAGGCGCCGCAGAACTTCCCGACGTTGCTTGAAGCGCGTCCACCATAGACTTTTTATGTAAACCTGCTGCTCCTGACGCTGAAATCGCGTTCGGTGTGAACGCACCATAAGAACCAATCTTTTCTGTCACACACGGTTCAAGAATTATTTGAAGAGACCTTATAGTTTTCACACAGCGGCTTGTTGAGTGAACTAAATTTTTCAGTGATTTTCCTGCGTTGAAAGTGTCATGTTGCAGATCGTTTCTGGCCAGCCCACCACAATTAGGCCTTCTAATTGGCTGAGGCTGTTACTGGGCAGTGTACCTTTTTGAGTGACAGAACAACAAGGGTCTTATGTAACCCAACATGGCATCCAGAGTGCTCAGCAATTTTAAGACAAACAAAGCTAAAATTTGGTGCAGTGGTAGCTGAGAACTAACTCAACACATTCTGAGTGCTAAACAAAAGTTTAAGCTAACCACTAATCCTAATTTTAAAAAAGGCTCTAATTCAGCTAATTTAAGCTGAAAACTGGTATCGTGGTAGCCATGAACAAGCTAATTTGAGACTGCAATAAACTGCCATTTTAAAACATTTTTAACTAAAACTTGGTGTGGTGGTAGCTGAAAAGGATCTCCATCACACACTGAAGCCAAATGAAAAATCCAAGATGGCCGCCATAGCTAAAATGACAAATTAACCATAACTGCTTATGGCAAGCCCTTTCATATGTTTTCAGGAACTATTTAAGTTTTGTTTGCCACTGGCTGGCTTTTTAGAGTAATCACAATTTCAGAAAGCTATTTGTTAAAATGTGTTTGTATGAATGTTTATATGTCTATATGCTACATTGACAGAGTGACTGTTAATACTAACTGAGCAGCAGCCACCTCAAGTTTTTATCTGTCAGTATTTTTCATCACTTTCATCGAAGACTAGAATTTAAGGCCATGGACTGAGTCTAGATAAATGTACACTAATTTTTGCTTTGGTCCATAAAGATGCAGTCTAAACTTTACACTCTTCTGTTTCCAGGTGGGACCTCAGCAATGCGTAAGGAGGTCATCCGGAACAAAATTCGTGCTGTGGGGAAAATGGCACGTGTCTTCTCAGTTCTCAGGTCTGATATAGTCTTTACTCTTGTCTTATCTCATGATAAATGTAGTATCTTACTGGGGATTAGTTAGCAACTTCAAATGGAGAAAAGACTGAGAGAGGCAAGTTTTCTGTTGCAGTCTCGCTGAATTCTGAATGTGATCAGTGAGCTGTGTGGATGTTTTGAATGGTAGTTTTCAGAAAATTACACACAGAATGTACAACTTTAACATGAGACATTTCTGAAAAATTACTGTACTTGTGATGTCTGTACCAGCTTTTTCTTTTTCTGAAACAGATACATGTTTAAACATTTGGTATTGAACCAAATGTTTCATTTATTTGTCAAAATCTTTTATTGTGTTAATTTGATACATTTTGATCTGTTACATAACTGTCAAATTATAGCTGTTAGATAAAGCCTCTTTTGGTTTAAAAAAAAGAACAACAAAAATAAAGAAAACAGTCTAGTGTGTGAAGATGAATTTGTTAACACAGATACTAACYCTAGCAATCAGTCCTTGGAAACTTTTCAGTGACCCACATAGAGAACCAGGGCACACTTCAGTAGTTTGGGTGTAGGCACTTCAAGGTGCTGTGAGAGTTTGAACCCTTTACTTCATGACCATCAGCTGTGTGCAGAAATGTCAGGGTAATGTAACATGTTTGTGTACGGTGTGTGCCTGTGATCTGCTTACTGATTAGGGAGGAAAGTGAAAGTGTGTTAACACTAAAAGGCCTGACACCAACTGGAACTCTTCCTGTGGGAGTGTTGTCAGGAGGAAAACAGACCTTACAGAGTGGTAAGTGTGTTTAACTTTTTCTGACTAGCTGCCATTTAACACCTCCTGACACCTGGTTTATACCCACTGTTCTTGGCCTCACGAATAGCGTCCCTTGACAAAGCTTGTGTGACAGTTTAGGTTTGATTGTATAAAGATTCATACAACTGAACAAACACCACAAAGGTCTAATCATTGCAGATATTTTGTAATCTTCAAATATCTACTAGATGAGATGAAACTCTCTTGTTACAATATTGTATAAAGAGCATGCAGTATGGGTATTCCTTATGTTGTAAAGTGAGCTTCCTTTATTTATTGTAATATTGTGTGATAACTGCAATCACACAATAATACAAAGCCAGAATCTTTTCCATAAAATCAATACAACATTGCTTGACTTTTCCTATGACTATGGCAAAATCTCTATTTTTAAATGTTTAAAGTTTGCTAAAAAAAATACCTTATTTTTACTGTTTGGGCAGCAAAGCTCTGGATCTGTGTGTTTATTTTAACAATAATGATTTAATTTACAATCCTTACAGAAATTGTTCTGTTCTCAACAATCTGAGCCCACAGCTTTATTGCTAACTTCAGTAAATAGAGTAAAAACTTCAAAGTCCATATCTTTTTAGAAACTCTGTATCAATCTTTGTATTTTTATGTGCTGACATAATGGTAACTCACTCACTGATTTCTGGAACTCCCCTGCTAGCGCAAACAACAGAGGCTGCTGTCTTCAAAATAAAAGCAGGCCAGTTTCAAAATAAAGCAGAGGCTTTAGATTTCTGGGAACAATTTATTCTTGACTGACTAAAGAAAAAAATTAATCAGTTAAGTTAAGGATTTTTAATCCTGATATCTAGTTTGTGAAGATCAGAGGTCTCTTTGAAAGGTTCTAGATCAATGACGGCGTGGCCAACACAGGAAACACTGGCTAGACTTTTATTTAAAGCCTCCCTTCCATGCAGCAGAGTGTTTTTAGGGTTGCTTGGGTGGGGAGGTCAGCCTGTCACCTGGAGCCGCTGACCCTTTGATCTAAAGGCCAGCGCCCGGGGCTGCCCGTCACACAACATGCTGGGAGCCCTGTTCAGGCTTCCAGATGCTGCAGAGCAATCGAAGGAGAACCCACATGTTGTGACCTTTGGGAGAATGTCACTGTCCAAATGTACGGTGCTGCCTACAGCTTTCAGATCAGCTAGGCCAGTTCAAACTATGGGTGTTAGAGGAGTTTACTGTTTCTTCTGTCAGAGTTCAAATTCAAAAAACCTGAAGACAAATGAACATTTTAGAATGATGCCTCAGAAACCTATGGATGATGGAAATGCACAGATCTGAACAAATATGTTATTTGTCTTGAAAATGTTCTAAGAACATCTTCATGTTCACATAGTGTCAGGGGATTTCTGTGCACCATAATTTGTTTTCTGAACATTTYCCCACTGAGAATAAATCACTTTGTATTGATATAGCTTAAAACAATTAAAGTTTCCTCATTTAMAATGATGGTAAAACACTTTGCTTTTGACAATTTAAGGATTTTAGTATTTTGTTAATTCCTTCTGGCTTGGATATGTTAAAACTGTTTACTTGATTTATAAGGCTGGCTCACACTGTGTGATGTCAAAAATTGTAAAAGACTTATTTTTGTCACTTTGTGCAAGCTCAATTGTAAAAAGTAACGAAGTAGATGCTGGACTGTTACTAAATTAGTCAACATCACTTGTTATTAACAAGTGATCATTTATTAACAGTAATATTTTTAGTCCATCCATTTTTTTCTGCTTATCTGGGGTCGAGTCACAGAGGCAGCACCAGAGAGACGCAGACTTCCCTCTCCCCAGCCACTTGTGCCAGCTCATCCAGGGGAATCCCAAGGCGTTCCCAGGCCAGCTGAGAAACATAGTCCCTCCAGCGTGTCCTGGGTCTTCCTCTGGGTCTCCTCCCAATATTTTTAGTGGTTATTTTTGTGATTTTTGTCCTTAATTTTTTTAATCATTTGAAGTGAAATAACAACTGTTTTTCCCCACATCACTTGTATGCTTTGCTGCTAGTGTCTACTGCTACCATGACCCTTTCTACTGCAGTTGAAGGTCGGTACCAGTCAGTCATCGGTCAGCTTCATTCCTCTTTTCAAGCTGAAGTTGAATGAGTCAGCTTATAAAAGGGACGCTTCCAAATAGATGGTTTGTAGCTCTGAGCGGTTTAACTACGAAGCTATTACATTTAAACAGTAGACACACAAAGCTATTGATGAACCAACAAACAAGTTCCTGAAAGTGTTCTTAGTTTGCTAAATGGACTCTATGAAGTTAGACAGTTTATCTGTTTGCTACCAGTAGAACATGCCCAGAACACCTCTAAAGGCAGGCATCCAGGAGACATCCTAATCAGATGCCCAAACCACCTCAACTGACCCTTTTCAATGTGGAGGAGCAGTGGCTTTACGTAAAGCCCCCCCACTTGTATCCAGGATCTTGCTCTTTCAGTCATGATCCAAGTCTCATGACCACAGGTGAGGGTTGGAACGAAGACAGACTAGTAAATCCAGAGCTTTGCCTTTCGACTCAGCTCTTTCTTCACCACGACTGACTGAAGAAATGCCCTCATTACTGAGGATGAGGCCCCAATCCGTCGATCCATCTCCCACTCCCTCCTACCATCACTCGCAAACAAGACACCCAGATACTTAAACTCCTCCACTTTCCACCCTTTTTCGGGTCAAAGCATGGCCTCAGATTGAGAGGAACTGACTCTCATCCCAGCCACTTCACACTGGTTTGTGAAACACCCCACTGCCTGCTGAAGGTCTTGGACTGAAGATGCCAGCATAAAAAAAGAATTGTGATTATGTTTAATATTTGTCAGTAGGTGGTCATCTGCCAATGAGCTTGTCACAATGTTTGACCACAAACAAGATTCAAGCTAATGAAGAGATTTTATCTACATATTACACAGTGTGAACCTGTCTTTGGTCATTTGAAATTTGTAGGGTTTTCAGTAAAACTCATTTTTATTTGTTAAAATGACTGAATTTAGGTTGAATTTGATGCAAATATCTCATGGAACCACAAAGTCAACAAAAGGGAATAATTGCACAAAATAATTTCAAAAGGTTTATATGGTTTAAAAATATTTAAGTAAAACTAGTTGCACTATTTGTCTTACAACAAGCATAGTGTAAWTTTTGATTGAAATATGTGAATGGATGTTTTAAAATCCATTTCTTTGTCTGTTGCCCTGCCTGGTCATTGTTGCATATCTCATGTTGGTTTTAGACGAAGTGCTCAGCCAAATCCCCCTTAGCTCTCCTCACCTAAGTCCTCGTGACCCTTTAACACCAACCCTGTGTTAAACCTCTGAGGAGCATCTCTCTGACCCACCCACCCACTCACTCACTGACTGGTGCTGATTCAGTTTTACAGCTGCTGTAAGTTTAGTCCCTGTTGATGCACTATGTTAGACCTGCTGTCTCATAATGGTTTACAGTTTGATTTTGCTGTCTTTAGCTGCCTTTGATGACTCTTGTTTTTCTCCTTCTTCCTTGATTCCCATTAACATAGCTACCATTGAGGCAGCTAAGGCTAAAGGTATGCTCTGGCTGTGTGGCTTATGTCTTGTCTATGTATTGAGTGTATTCACCATTGAAAGACATTACTTCTAAAATGTGTACTTATTTTTAATCATTTTGGACCCCACTTTTATATAATACTGATTCTTTTATCACTGTGTATTGTAGAGATATGGGCTCTTGCACTAACAGTGTCTGTTGATCACATTGGGTCATAAATGATGGTAATCAATAAAAGAAACACACATAAGCTCTACRGAGCACGGTGTGAATGGTACAATAGCTTCTATCAAATGAAAACTATGGCATTAATTAGGTTAACAAATTTTGGGATCATTATTTTCACCTGAAGAAGTTTAAAATTTAGTTTCTGTACTCATGAGAAGTGAAGGCTATGAGATAAAAGGATTTTCATAGTTATGCCTGTATGGTGGGGTTTTGGACTTGGCCTGTCCCTTGTTGACAAGAAGTCTTTGGCTGTGGTCTCATGGGCTTTTCTAGTCAACTTGGCTCCCCTCACAGAGAAAATCCTGCTAAGAACTGGCTAAGATAAGACCAGGGACATCCCTGCTGGGGATATTTTCAGAACATAATCCCGTTACTTTATTCGACTGATGCTACACTGTCTGCCTCTTCGGGCTGATAGTACTGCTCGGTAGCTCTGCATGCTTCACGCATGAACAACTTTGATTGAGTTTCATAAAAAGAAAAAAAACTGTCTGAGAGTTTGTGACATATAGAGTGAGGAGGTTGTGTAACTAGTGCCTATGGAGGTCTTTTATTTTCATTCACTATTCAGTTAGAACACTTTGCGATAAAAGACACTGTCAGTACCCACATGAATACAGTTCTTTACATATTTGTCTTTGTATATTTCTGTCTGTGGAAGCTCTTTTTTTGTTGTCAAATTAGCCTAAAAAAGAAGGCCAGTGAAATTAGGACTTCATGCACAACCCCAACTGCAACAATAAAAAATAATAACAGAATCTTGTTTATAATGTAAATAAAAACATAATGCAAAGAACTCATATTTTATTCACAATGAAAATTTATAAAACTCTTAAAAGTTTAAACAAATACTTATAAAATTTACTGTACAACACATCTCAAAAAAGTTGGGACAGAGGCAACAGAAGACTAAAAGTAAAGGGTAATAAAAACAAACAGCTGGATGAGCATTGTGAAAAGAATTAGATTAACTGGCAACAGGTCACTAAGGACTGGTTTAAAAAGCATTTTAGAGGCTGAATCAGAAGTAAAGACGGGCAAAGTTTCAAAAAACTGCATCTAAAATAGTTGGAACAGTGTTCCTTAGGTTTTGAATATCCTGTCATCTCCAGGTCATTAAATCATCAAAGGATTTCAATAATCTGTAGAAATCTCTGAGGTCGTTAATACTACCCTCAAGTGACACTGCATTAAAATCAGGTCTGATTCTGTTCTGAACATAATTGCATGAGCTCAAGATCACTCCCACAAATCATCCTTTGTAAATACTCTTCACCAGAGTGATGGGCACATCAAGGTAAGAAGAGAGGCAGGTGAAGTGATGCACCCATCAGTGCCTACTGTACAGCCTGTGGGGTCGGGGCTGTGATGTGGGGTTGCTGCTGTTGGTCAGGTCTAGCCACAGTGAATGTGTGCTGTAATCAAAGCTAACTAAATATTAGACTGCATGACCTTGTTTTTTTCATGGCGACTTTTTTTTTTTGGGGGGGGGGGCAGTCATTGTATCTTACTGTCTATCAACAACTTTTAATTTCATTGTACTTTACAGATATGTTTTATCACAAGCCAGCAAATCAGTTAAAAATCAAATTATTTGAATTTAAAATAAGAAAAGCTTATAACAAAAAAGGATTAAAGTCAGTTCTCTGTTGCTTTTTCCACATCAAACTCAAAGATTAAAAGTTAAAACTCAATTCTTTTTGCCTTGAAACTTGGCCAGCTGTCATGATAGGAGTGCACTTACCATGTGAGTTTTTTAATCTACAACCACATTAATTTMAATATTTTCTCATATAAAACTGAAATATCAACCCCCTCCCCCTCCCATTCGTTGTAAGTCACGCAGAGCGAAGCATATGAACCGCAGCTGTTTACTTACTGGAGTCCCAGGAGAAAAAAAACTTTTTCTTTCTTAACCGTGGCGATGTAAAAAACACATGAACTTTAGTTGCATGTCCTGATAAATCCATCTTGCTTATTATCAGCAGATTTCTGCTCTGGTCTACTCGTCTTTGACAGCTCTGGAGCAAAGCCCACCCACACAAGAGTGTTTCTCTGAATAATGTTTCTCCACAAGAGGGCGCACTGAATCCTGAAAAACCCTGAAGTCTGTYTGAAATGAGTGGTGGCTTCWTACTTGATGATTAGATCTCTTATGCTTTTTAAGCTCAAAAGATGATGATCGTATTATAAAATGAATAAATACGGTAATACAGTGACGAAAATAAATAGTTTCACATTTAAACTATTATCTGCTGGGCCAGTTGAAATGTTATTGAGGGCTAGATTTGGTCCTCAGGCATTGAGTTTGACACCTGTATTTTAGAACATTTTTTCAGGGAAGGCCTTGCATATTTCAGCAAGATTATGCTAAATCTGATTCTGCATCCGTTACAGCAACATGACTGTAGCAGAAGAGTCCAGACCCATCAATTAAAAACATTTGTGCCTTATGACGAACAAACAAACAAACAAACAAACAAACAAACAAACAAACAAACAAACAAACAAACAAACAAACAAACAAACAAACAAACAAAAACAAGACTTTTATCCTACATCAAACAAAAGTAGGACAATGTATCCCTCCAAAAACTCTTGTTAAAAAGAGGGGAGGTTTCAGTGAGAACCCTGTGTGAACTGTTTGAGATGTGTTGCTGGCACCAAATTAAAAATTATTTTATTTATTTACTTTAAGCATTTGATATGTTTACTAAGCTCCACTGTGAATAATACATGGGTTTAGAAGATTTGCAAATCATAGAGTTGTGTGTTTTTAACACAATGTTCAGTATGGGGTTGTAAATACAAAACCTTACAGATATCTGCTGTGCAAGAGTCTTTGTTTCCAGACAGACCAGTTTTACTGCATTTACCTGAATATTTGTTCTTTGTTGAAGTTAAATGTCTGTAATGTTTGTCCAAAGAGTCCCTTACAAGTCTGTTTTTYATTTGCACATGTTCTCTGTCTGGTTTCCTTGGCCATGTCGGGACGTTGCCGTAAGTCTCCAAAACGTGAAGTGTTTCTTGTTGTAGTTTGTTTTCCTGGTGTTTGAACTCTAGGAGTCGATGTGTACCTGTGCATGTGTCGAACTTTAAGATCATTGTACTGTGGTAGACTGAAACTGTGCTTTGTGTTTGCAATATTGAGGAGTCTAGTTAAATCAAGGCTTATGGGCGTAAACAAAGATTTGCATCAAATCTTTCTGTGAAGTTGGGACTTCGTTTCTTCATTTTCTTTTTCTTTCATTTCCCCCTCCAGCCATTCAAGGCTTCTCTCCCACAAGAAAGATTCGCAACTTTGAGGAGGCCCGAGGCCTGGACAGGATAAACGAAAGGATGCCGCCTCGCAAAGATGGCAAGCAGCAAGACAGCACCACCATCAACACCACCGTCCCCAACAAGAATGGCACAGATGGATAAACAGCCAAGACGCCCCTCCTCATATCTTCAAGTAGCCACCTGACTCCCCCTCCTCAAACAGGGTCTCTGTCTGCCTCACCTGCTCAGACTGTTCATGTTCTCACCTGCAGACAGACAGAGACCTGAAGCCGACAGGAGACACATCACAGAGAAAACACAAAGACATACTGAATGATGTGACTGCCAGAATATCATCTTATTTATTGAATAAATATATTAGCTGTACTGTTTAATAGCAACACGTTTATTGAAAAAAAAATACAGCTGTTCAAATGTATAAAGATGCTGATCTTCTGTATCAAACTGATTCAAAGATCGTTTTTTAAGTGGGTAGAAAAAGCCCATGTTATTCACGTGTTTAGTCACTTTTGTATTGTTCTTTATGTGCTTAATAAGGTAAAACCTCAGCCTCATTCCTTGTGGAGAGACTACAGGCATGTGAGGATCTACAAACAGCTCAGTGTTTACTGTCAGTTCAAAGATAAATTATTTGTGCGAAGAAGCTGAAAACAAAGGTAATAAGGGAAGTTAGGTCTTTCAGATTAATGTTAATTATTTTATATCTAAAGCAGTATTTTAAATGTGACTGATTGGTATATGTTCACTTCCAGAGAAAAGGTTTCCTGTATTATCATTTTTGACACGTTTAAATGTCGAATGCACAATTATTGTTCTGCTTTCAACTCGTGTTCATCTGATGGCAGCTAGGATGTCCCCTCTGTCAAGAAACAGGACAAAAGAGAAAAAAAGAGAAGGGAACTTAGAAAATATAATTTTCAGGCATCAGTGTTCTCACATCCAAGCTGGAATCTTCTTCTTCAGCAGTGGCCAGGCTGGCTCTTTGAGTCTGAGGCCAAGATTCAACCTTATATTAAAGAGGACATATCCTGCAAAATCCACTTTTTTATTTGTTAAATACATTTTGTTGTGGTTTTGGAGTCTCTAGGAGGTAGAAAAGTTGAATTTAGTTTCTCCTGGTTCTGCAAAGATATCTTTATATTCTGTTTAGGTTATATTTTTCAGCCAGTTCAGTTTTCTCTATTTTCTATCCTGTTTTCTGAGTTTATTACATCAAATAATTTACAACAGAATTACAAAATAAGGTCTGGACTTACCAACTACAATTTCCTTGTCTTAATCCCCCCTGGTTCTGGGTTAGACTCTGGTTCTGGGTCAGACTCTGGTTCTAACATGTAAGGTTGGATGGACAAGTCTTCTGTTGTTGACATCTTTTAATTAAATTGTAAATATAAYGTTTCTGCAAGCTAGAAAAAYGTAAACCGCTCTTAAACCAGAATGGACCGGTCTGGAAGCCGGAGCGGGGCGGGACTTGAAGCATCTTAAAGGAACAGTAAAGCCTGGAACATACTCGTTCTGAAGCCGAACAGTTGATGCACAGTCACATGGTTGTTCGGCATTTGTTTACGCACACACCTTTCATAGCCCCTGTGACACACCACGCCGAGCTCCTGGGAAAGCCCTCCCGCTGCAGCATACATCACTGCATGGAGTTTCTTCCTGCTGGAGACTGATGCAGAAAAAAATAATCTGAGACTCGTCACTCACCCGATGTTATTATCCACAAATCTGTTGCGGTTAAAGCTCCACAATTTTTATCGGATTCTTCCATGCACTGCGTCTGTTTTATCTCCATGAGCTTTTCACTTTGACTATCTTTRTAAAAGTTTGCTTCCTGGTAACAGTTGGCTCTGGAAGCAAGTCGTTTTTTTTTTTAACCGAGTGGTTGAAGTAAAATGCAGCGTCGGAGCACTTTCAGCACAAACACTCACGCTTATGGACTTCAGACCACTCACATTTCTGTTGTCGCGGGAGGGGGGGTAAAAAGTTCTGCCGGCGGGTTATGCCAAAAGGGGCGGCCGAGTCGATGCTTAGAACGAGAAGGGGTGATCTGCGGAATCAAAGTGGGCGTGTCACAAGAGTGGGCGTGTCTAAAGCATAAACACTGTGGGCTACGAGGCCTACATGACGGTATCCTTAGATCCTGCTTGATCTCTTTACAGCCTGACCCTGACCCCAACACTAAGGTTAACCAGGAGAAATGTGACCCAAGTAGGGTTCTCCAGAAAAAGTGGTGCCGTACAGTAACACCCCTTTTGTTCTTGTCCAATGAGGTGTGTCCCTTTAACAAAATCCTTCAAATCAGGTGTGTCGCTTTAGAATTGTCTTTCCTTGTGACACGCCCACTCGTTCGCAGAGACCCCTACTTGCTGAGAACACTGGAAATGCAATTTTCGTCATGAAACTGCGACAACCCGTGTCGACTTTGGCAGTTCGGAGCTGCTTTGAGACACACCTCAGAAAAGTGGTGAAAGAGGGGCTGGTAAAGTTACGATAAGGAGGAATGGATTGCAGTTCAACCTTTATAAAGACCCAACTGAATGATTTAAATGTGAAAAAGAAGGATTTAAAAGCTTGATGTGTCTACTTTAAGGGGACAAGATTTTAGCAGCATCTCCTGAACAAACTGATGTTAGTTATTTTATAAGAAACTGTGTTTTTAACTGAGTCATGACAGTTTTAAGTTTTATTTAAAAGCAGTAAAAAGAAAAAAAAAACGTTTTGCTTTCAAGGCTTTCCTTTGTTTCATTGTTCCCATCCACTGTTGATTATACAGCCTGCAGATTGTTTTTAACTGATAACCATGAATATTGAAGAAGGGAAGCATTTGAAACGGCAGCACTCGATGATGCTGTACTTGGACACAATAGACTGAGTCATTCCACTCGGTGGGATGATGCTATAAAAGCTACCACCTCCACACTCACAGCTGTCCATCAAGGCCTAACCACACTTCAGATCATCTCGAGCACGGCTGACTCACACAGTCCCACCGACTCGCTGGGCCCTCAGCACTTTCTGAAGCTGCTGCCGTCGACTCTTAAATGATCCAGCTCACCTCAGACCTGGAAACCTTTACTCTTCCTCACGCTTATTCCCAACCCTTTAAGATCTGCTTTTGCTAAAGCACACACAACTGGTGCTTCGACAAATCCAACTGTACTTCTGTCGTCTTTTTATTCACAATGTCAGAGGAAGAAAACAAGCTTTAATAAGATTTGATATTCTCCTGTAAATTTACTCCTTTTTTAAGATTTAAGAAAAATAAAACAAGGCTGTTGTGCCCATGTGCCATGCCATCTTGGCCACACGTGTGTGTGTGCGTGTGCGTACGTGTGTGTACGTGTGTGTGTGTGATAAACAGAAACTAGCCTGGAGACTTTCAGTTTCACAGATATGAAGATAAAATTTTAGTAATTTTAAAGTTTTCTTAATGTTTCTGAAAAGCTCCCAAAAAAAGGCAGTATTTTAGTTTGCATTCATGACTGTGAAGTTGGAATTAGTTTTAAAAGGTGAGCCATGCTGACTGCTGACCTCCGTCCTGTCAGGTATTTTTAATATGTTGCAGAATGTACAGAAATGATAATCTTGTCAAATCTTATAATAAACTGTAAGAAGAGGTTAAACTTGTATTGTATTTGTCATCCAACACCAAAAAGGACTTTATTTTGATGTAACTTTTTGGGGAAAATTAAACTAAATTCAAATATTTTCACCTTGTCTTAATGTTGGCTCAGATTAAAGCTGCTTCTTAAAGGGAGAGTTTGGTCATACTGACATATGGAGAAGTAAAAAAAATCTTGTTTTTTGTAAAGGCTTGGGAAAATATAGCTTACCTCTGAAAAGATTAAATGCACCTCAGAGCAAACTATTTCAATTTCCAAACTTTTTTATAGCGGTTCATACTGTGCAGTACAAGCTTTTATTTAAGTGTAAATAGCAGCAGTGAGGTGAAACATTCTCGCAGGAATTTCTTCAGAAATATGTTGTGAAATGGACATAAATGTAAAGGTTCAAGTGATGTCTGACTCAAAGAAATGATCAACCGATATCGAGTCTTGATCCAATTCATGCATTACTTTGCCCCCCACCCATTTTTTACTTGAGGCAAGGCTTGCAGAATATATACATCCAGATCAAAAAGAAAAAGTTGTATAGGTCCTCTGGACGGGTTCTTCTCTAATGAAACGTTTCGTCTCTCCTCCAAGAGACTTCTTCAGTCTGAGAGTTTCGGGTAAAATTCAGGCTTTTAAACCCTGCCTCCATGTGACTGATACTCACATCACATGGCTATCGTTGACACCTAATTAACACTTATTGTTAACAGGGGGTGGAGTGATACTGGCAATA